CAACTAAAGGGCTAATGATAGCTAACAAAACGTCTGCCATTTGATATAAATAAGTAAATAATATTTTTAATAATCGTAAATACTCGCATCATTTCGTCGCCTGATGGAAACTATTCTTTTAAACAGAACCTAATTATAAAGAGAGCATCTTAGTCACATTGATTAAAATATCCACTTCGTGTCACCTACCTGTTAACTTATTAGGACGAACGATTGATTAGGGAGAGATAACAGAAAATCCCCCTAATATAACACGATTGTAATGCCAAATGGTCATGTGAATGCCATATAGTGTGAGTATTTACATAAATATCATGTTATTTTACGTTCGCAAATGGGTTCTCATCGCTACATGCAGCAAATTCTAAGTTATCTATATCAAATCCATTACAACTAGTAGTTACTTTGTTTTGTTAATCTCCCCCAATTTATTCACATGTTAACTAGGATCCCAGGGTTAACTCACATGATAAATTCCGTTAGAGTATGATTGTTGTTAATTGTATTCAGTTCGCCAATCAAGGAATTGGCATTGACCCAACACAAATTATGATATCATAGGCATCAAATATGGTTGAACTTGGTTCGCAACCTTATTGAACCAAGCCGAAATACACGCTGCACTCAGAATGGACCAATGAGGAACCCGAATTAGGAGATCGAAGTGTCCACTGGTTAGACCAGCTTGTATGGGACATAATGAAAGTGGTTCCCGTCTCCTCTCACTTGTAATCTTGGTCTTTATATCCCCTTTTAACTTTTTTCAAATCAATTGTGTCTGCCCTAATAGAGATTGGTCTAGAGTCTTCCGGTTGTGAAGAAATGGGATAGGCGAAACACATCTGAATTGGATGTAGGTCGACCTGACTGTCTCGAATAAAGGTTGAAATGGCAGAGTATGTGTGCTCAGTCATCATGAGGAAGTGGAGAGGGCTCTTAGTGGGAGATGCAGTTGGCAGAGAACTCACAATACATTACAATAAGTTGTGGTCAAATCAGGCTGTATTACAATTGAATGTAAGCGCATTTCCAAATTCTTAATGGTTTGAGCCCGTTGAATTAACAAATTCGTTAAGTGCTGTGTCGCGTTTCTCAAAAAAATCGAAAAATGACTAATTTTAGACTTTTCCTTAATTAGTCTGATCTAGATCAAATTTCGCTGAAATGCACTTTCCACGAACGAATTTAACAGTATATAATGAACTGAAGTATACCCGATTTGAAAGCGCACGTTCATTTCAAGCTCAACTAAAGTGTGTATATATATAAACGAGTTATTCAGTTTATCATCTATTTTACGTACAAATACGCATAATTCTGTCTTTTAATTGGTTAAACTCACCTTAAAGTACATGACGAACTTAAATGTATTTTCTTGTGCAATAAACGTAAAGTGAGTCTTTAACTTGTACTTTCCTTGAATTCCCGGGGTATATAGGAAAATTTTAAATAAAACCTTTCGAGCAGACATGAGACTTATAAGATCGCAACAATAATCCAATTTGCCTATGAGTCTACTGTCATCAGTCAAAATATTGGTTGAGTTAGATCTCTTATTAGAAGGAAGTCAAGTATTTACCCATTTTCCGCATTGGAAGCTTCCAAACCCAGAAATTACGCGTTCACAAAGGGGAGTGCGCTCACTTTAGAGGGTATTGCAGATGAGGTAGCAAAAGTGGGGTCAGACAAGGGGTCTAGACTCATGATATCAGGTTCGGGAAGGGAAAACTTTGGTGACAAGATTTCATATGATTTTGGAAACATCATTTCTTCACCCTGTTCCTTCAACACCCACATACTTCGTTGAAGTCTACCAACGAATATGTTGGCCTTTTTGATTGTGGTAATCGATGTACCAGTACCTTTCCAGCTCAGTTTTCTTTGCAAGCAATCGATAACATCAAGAATCTACGCCCTTAATTCCTCCTTAACTTACACCTTTTAGTTATGGTTGGTGTCCCGTAGTTAGAGATAGTGAAATTTCAGTTGAATTCCCCTTCGTTCTCCCAGAATACTCGTTTAGTCTGACTGAACACTTTAAATGTGCAGATTTAGAGTCATTTGATTTTGGAAAGCGGGATTTTAGCCGCTCTTTTTAGTAATATTTCGTGTTTCCCCTTGAAGGCCAACTCATAGATAAGTTCTTCTCCATTTGAAGATGCAGACCAAGGTTCCTCCGATGAAATTTTTCTGTTAAGCCTCTAGAATTCATGTGTTTTGGATGTCCAATCCTTACACCTTTCTTCTGGTAACTATCTGCACAACCTCTAACCTACTAATGTCCACTTGCGATAGCTAATGGTAGGTAAGTCGTACTGAAAGACTGGTTGAACAAATATTCCCGTTAATATTTCTCAAGTTCTAATCAATAACATTTTCACTTCCTGTCACCTGGCCTTTAAAAATAATTGGTTCTGAAACCTCATTGTTAAGCTGTAATCATCCCTTGGTGGGGCATTGTAGGTAAAGGGGCTCGCTTAATTAATCTCGAAATCGTTTATTCTCTGAAGTGATTGCTTTACATTTGCTCCGACTCGCATCGAGACTCTTTTATCAGAAGTCCTTTCCATCGCGTACTTTTCAAGTCGTTCAACTTGTTTGAATTTATGAAATGATAGGGCAAATGTCACCTTGACGACTATTTGAGACCTGAGGAACATTCAAATCCCCGCATGTTGCTCCTCATCATCTAAAGTTAACTGAAATTCTTGCTAAACATTAAGCTGAGCTGGTTAGTTATCGGCCAGTGCATTCTTATGTCACCCTCTAAACATAACTGGACTGCCCAAAGGTAAAAATTCGACGCTAAAGGAAGTGAAATGAGGGAAGACGAAATCCAAAACTCCGAACCTGTCTTGTAATTAATGCCTTATGATCTGAAGAAATCAATCGGTATTGTGCAATAACACTTATCTTTGTTGACTTTAGGAAGTTCATCTTTTCACTTCACCCGGCAACAATAATAACAACACTATGTAAATTAAAGCTGTCTGGAACAAAACAAACTGTTTTCAAAACTGTCAGATGCCCCAAAAGATAGAGTTGGGCATGAACCTATTCTTCTTAAAATGCTATTCCAACTTAAATTATAGAATGGGATTGACCTGGCAAGGCAGATGCACTAGTCAGTCCAGATCAGATTTTTTCTAATGCGATTAAGAAGGCCGGATTTTGATCATCTGGAGAAGATTTAACAATTCATTGAGCACCAATGTCAGTACGTTAGAATATGATTTGGCGATAAGTGACGGTTGACGTGTGATGGATATTGAACCTTGGGTGAACGAGAAATTGTTAAGTATTTATTTATTTATTTAAAATGGCAGGCGTTATGATAGGTATCATTAGCCCTTTAGTTGACTTCGGGCTTCACAGAAAGGAAGATGAAAATCCTAGTGGTAAAAAGTCGAGAGGGGGCAGAATAATGATTCACAGACTCAAAAGAGACAGACAGACACAAAGGTAGAAAAAGGTGACGTGAATACTGTGGAATTATTCCTATATGAAATGCAGTGGGGTCATGGTAGTTTGAAGTGAGAAGTCAACTGCCGCTTAATAGACTTTTGCCGTATGAGTATACGTTGCCCAGGGTGCACCACGTGGAGGTAAGTCTATCGCACACCCCAATTGTTAAATATTCCTAATAGAGTTCATATTTGTTAAGAACAGCCCTGTTGATTCCATAGCTCAGAGGAAGTTAGACTTTTCTAGTTTTCTACGTTCTCCCTACTACTTTTGGATTAAGTAAAAATAAGGCCGAAGGTTGACACTTATCGCATTGCTTAAAGTTATGCTTTGATCACATTTTCCTTGCGAATACTTCGCTTTACGTCCACTAAGTGATGCCTGTATGCCTCTATGACTCAAACCCGATCTGCCCTGTCTGGATAGATTTAACGATTCTCATACTTTCATTTAAAGTACGCCCCCACTCACACCTCTACACGAACACACGCATAAGTGAATAATTTACACAGCCCATTATTTCCAATGGCACGAAGCTCACGTTTGTCGTTTATCTGCTCGTAAGCTCCCCCCCCCCAGCCTCCCTTCTTCTCCATCATGGTGGTTCATCCAATAAATTTTACCCTACGCAAGTTCTAGAATTAGCAACTGCCGTTAGTAGCAGGCTCATGTCCTGGCTTCCACAACGTGCTTCTGGTTTATTAGTTCCTACAAGTTGCTAACTCCTTGACTGGTGACGCTCATTTCTGTTGCCTCAACAAGGTGATCCTCAATATGCAATTGATTTTCCACCCTTTCCGGTGATTCATGATGGGGAAAATCACCTTGCACTGTTTGAAAGGATAGAGGACATGGATAACACCTTGATGGAACTAGGCTCTGTGAGCTCTACCAGATTCATAAAAACTTCTACAAATACTTTAAGTTCATTATTGATATTTCGGCTTTTGAAAATAGAAATTAATCGAAGTGCCAAGATTGACCGTGGCAATTAACCAGCATGTCAATAAGTACTACAGATTGCGGATGGACAAACCAAAGGAAGAGTCCTGAAAGTCTAATTTTAGGGCTCAAACTTCTGTATTGCCCTCTTTTAATTTTCGCTTATAATGACACGATGTTTGTTCACTTTTCGAGAGAAGAGACTTTTACCCTGATATTTTGAAATTCCTTAGCGCAAAGTGCATTTTGGTGTAAATGAAGTTCATAAACTTATAAAATAATAGTTCTTCTGCCGAATTCAAACTACTGTATCGCTTCATTCCAAAGAGCTCTGGATCATCACCTATCCAGAATCTAGACTCCCAAATATAGTTAAAATAGCTTTTAATCAGGACACGCTTGTAAAACAACCAAACGGATTAACCCGGGCTCGAAGTGAAAACACCTGCTGTTGTAAATACACAAATCACCCATAGGAAACAGCTATGCTACGTCTTAATTGGCCAGTTGGGTAACCAATCAGATGAGTCAAGAAAAATTGGCACATATATATGCTTGTGCATACTGCTGACTTTTTCACTTTTAAGTTGGCAATGGCGGTGCAGTCGGCGGATTTGCCTGTTTTGGAGGATGGGAACGCGAAGGTTGTGCAACCCCCAAAGAAGAGATTTGTCAAAATTTTTATTGACAATTGGTTTATGATCACCACAGTTATTGGTGTTTTCATCGGGTTTGGAGTCGGATTTGCTCTACAGAAAGCTGGACTGAGTGAAGCACAAAAGATATGGATCGGTTGGTCATTTCATTCACTCTTTCGTTTTTTCGTGCTAAAACTTAGATTTAATATCATTTTTATCTTATTTTTTAGCTATGCCTGGAAATATCTACATTCGTCTTCTTCAATTAACAATCCTTCCTATGATTGCCGCAAACATCATTGGTGGTAAGTTGCTAGCAGATTCTAATGCTGCTCGTGTGTAAATAAAGGAGATTTAAATTTCATTTTCTCTTCAGTGTTGGCCAACTTAAATCCAAAAGAGAATGGAAAAGTCAGCATCATCTCGCTTGGTTTCATTTTATTCTTCAATCTTATAAGTGCACTGATTGGCGTCGCGTATGGCTACATAATTAGACCAGGTTTGCTCAACCCTTTTCTACCAAATCATTGAATGCCTCTTTTACTTTAACCACAATGGAAGGCAACGCTCACTTTTAACAAATGAGCAGTTTGTCCAACTTTTTAGAAGATTAGTTATCTCTTTTACATTTTTCAATTTTCCTTATTTTGATTTCGATCAAATCCTTTATTTAAATCGATAACAGTACAATTTTTCTATAATCTGGAATAATCTTGCTGGTAATATAATGACTGAAAACCGGAGTAGTGTTTTTACTAACGATAAATTTTTACTCACGTGGCAGGTTTTTCTAGCATGACCGCGAGTTATTGACCAGCGTCATCGATATGTCCTTGAATTACATAATTCAATTATAACATATATATTTTTATTCAATTCCTTAAGGTGACTGGGCCCGAGATCCAAATGCAATTAATGCGAGCGTTATCGAAGTTGAACATGGCAACCAAATTTCCTACATTTTCAAAGATCTCTTGCTGTAAGTTGGCGAATATTCTGAGGCAATTGTTCTGATGACTCGTTTTAACCGGTGTTATTTCCCGATAATCCAGCAATATCTTCCCTGATAATATCGTTGGAGTAACGCTCAGCCAAGCAGCTTCAGATTTCAAAAATCCACAAAAAATAGCCACCGGTGAGATTGTTTACAACGCTGTGAAAGCCGATGGAACAAATTTGATTGGTGTTCTCTTCTGCTCTGTTGTCTTTGGAATTGCTGCTAATGGGGCTCGGGAAAAGGCTGAACCTTTCAAGCAATTCTTCGGTTCCCTCGGAGAAGTTGTCATGCTGCTTATGCAGAAATTCCTTCTGTGAGATTTTTCTTGTCTAAACTCATAAAATCATTCCATTACCTATTTAATAACCGTGTTATTGATTTTTATAGGATCACTCCTCTTGGTGTCATGTTCATGGTGATGTCATCAATTGCTGAAGTGCAAAATATTGGTCAGACTTTCATCTCCCTTGGCATTTTCGTCCTTCTGAATGTTGTCGGACAAATTACCCATTTTATCTTCCTGGTACTTAGTATAGTGGTTTTATGTGCAAACCCCTTCCGAATCCTCAAGTATTGTATGCCAGCTTACTTCATTGCTTTTGCCACAACTAGCGCGTAAGTCGGAGTCTTCTTATACTTTGTTTGAACCGAGATTCAAACGTCAACTGATTTCTC